CTATGTCTCTCTCTGTCAAATAAATAAAATCTTTAAAAAAAAAAAAAAGTTGATATAAAGCCAAGGACAAAGGCTGCAAGGGACACAGAGAGGAGATAATAGAACAGCCATTAAGAGTTAAGAAGGGATGCTTTTGGCTTAACTTGGTTGTCTAGGGAAATACAGGGAAGGGCGCTCACTACCACCTCAATTAGTACCTTTCTGCTATACTTACTCCCTTTCCTATAGTTCCTCTTTCTCTCTTCCCACTGCCAACGCCCACCCCATGCCACCTTCAGGTCACTGCTGTTTTAACTGTGTATTCTAGAATGTCGGGGCAAGTTGAGAGAGAAGAAAAAGAAAAACTGATTGGATGGGGACAGCTAGAGATTTTGTGGCCTTGATCCCCTTTCAAGCTACCATGTCCCTGTGTGATTATACACACACACACACACACACACACAAACATACGTAGTCCTCTCTCATGCCTCTTTCATTACATTTTTTAAAAGATAAACACAGATTAGAAGAAAGAAAATGAAATGGCAAAGAGATATACTAGATCTCACTGCCTCTAGGGATCATCCTTAAACACATCCTCTTCCCCTAACCCTGCCCTTCCTCTAAAGCAGAGTGAGAAGCCCCTCACTATGTTCCCATAGTGCCTTGGTGATATCTCTCTTGCTGTGCTTATCATACTGTATTTTATTCTTTGCTTATATAGTTATCTCCTCACCTGGACTGTGAAATACTTACAGCTAGAATGCCTGTTATTTGCCTGTGAGTGAGATGAATGGAATGCTGTGATTTCCAGTGTCCTTGTGACATTTCATAGTAAAGGATGGACTGTAGGAAGTATGTGATTATTCCACTAAAAACTCATGATAAAATAATTTATGACTCTTTCTTTATTGTATTTTATGTATTTAAGTTCATAATGATGAGTCTCTTCATAATGATATAAGTAGTTAGTAGCCACGGATAAAGGTAAAGAGTTTCCAGGCACAGCTATGTTATTAACATATATACAATGTTACTATGTCACAGCTAAGTGTGGGAATCTATGGGAAAGTGAACTGGTCATGATCTTAAAGTGATCTTAAATTGGGTAAACTAAAACAATTCAGCCGTCTTAACTACTTTATGTCTAAAATGTTGAACCATGCTGTTATATTTAGTTCTGGTACCTATCAAGCCAAAATATCAATATTAAGACAATCGAATTCCCGAATTACTCTATTATGTCATCATTTCTCAAGAAATCAAGGTCATTTTTCAGAAAGTTCATTCACTAGGACCCAACATGGATTGACATGTTCAGACTGAGGTCTGTATATGACTATTTTTACAGGAAAAATTCTAGATCCCAAAATGCCTTATTAGTTCAGATAATATGAAATACAGTGAAACTTCAGCACACTAAAAAATGTGGAGTGTCTTTTACTCTTGTAGTAGAATACAAGCCAAACCCCAAACCTAACTAAAATCACATTTTCATCACTGTCCTTTTTCCCAGCCTTACAAAACCAAATAATAACTATCCAGGAAATGTTGTATCTGTTAATTATAATGCAGTTAACCTTACCTCTTCCCAAAGAAATTATATATGTTTTTAGTATTTACTTTAAACTATTGGTCAGTTTGTTTCAGTGTTCAAAATACATTTTGGTCTAGAATTGTATATACTTCCCAATAGGATAGTAACACCTCATTTTATCCTCCATTACAGAAGACAATAGATGTACATCTTCGAATGCAGCGTCCTGCACCAAGTGCCTTGCGCTGGGTCCGGAATGTGGATGGTGTGCTCAAGAGGTGTGCCTTTTTCTTTCTTTCTTATTTCCTTATTTTTCTTTCTTTCTTTCCTTTCTTTCTTTCCTTCCTTCTTTCCTTCTTTTCTTGTCTCCCTTCCTTTCCCTTTTCTTCTCTTCTCTCTTTTTTGCTCTTTTCTCTGTTCCTCATGGTTGACCTTCTCTCTAGGCATGATTTCATTGCCCTAGTATTTTGTGCCTTGAAGGTGCATCAGGAAAAAGAAAGATACTGCTGAGCATCAGGAAAATTTTATTTGGTTTTATGTTTGGAAACAGCATATCTGGCTTAATAAAAAGTGTAACCTTTTCATTAGGAAAATTATGGTAATTTTGAAATGAAATGCAAACCATTTTATGTCTCCCATCTGTTCTATAGAGAGAATTGGCAAACACAGAAAGTGACTTTTGATAGGTCAGTAGGCTTTGTGTGAAATTCTTGCTGCAGCTTGGGGCAGTAGGTTATATATGCAAGTTGGATCATAGTCTTGTACTTGCTTATTAAAGAAAAGCAAGTTAGTTTATTGGTTTGTTTCATTTGTTTTTACTTGAAATACTTAGAGATAAGTTATTTACTCCATTTCATAACATTGTACATCAATTCGCCAGTTACTTATGAAAAATGGGATGCTTTTCCTTTGACATGTGACCCTATTCATGCAGTACTGTGTACATTTAAATTCTGTGGAATGAAGAATAATTCAGAAATTGTTTATTGTTCAAAATTAGTGTTTTTCTATTCTAACAAGAGAAACATAACCCAATAACAAACTTCTTAGTAAAAAAATTATAATGCATTCCTTCTTTCTTGGCTGTGAAGTTGTTTTGTGAATTTTTTCTTTTCTTGGTAATCTTCAGTCAGAACTACCTTATATGATAAGTTGTAATGAAGAAGCCATCTACTAATCTGGGGGTTCTTTTGTGAAATTATATAGGTAATTTTGTATTTGTTTATGTAGCTCTTGTGAATTGGAACAAATAGATCTTTAATGGTCTTTTGCTTGACATGAAAAGAAATCTCTAGCTTTTGCCTCCTCTGATTTCGCTCAAAAACTGCACCTACCATCATCTTTCCAGCTTCTCCTGTTACTGCTTGCCCTTATGCAAGGGGAAAAAAGAAAGCTAAAAAGTAGCAAAGGATGGTGGACATTACTTTCTTCTAAAGCAAGTCAGGAAAGAGGCAGGGGAGGGGTTCAGAAAATAGTAGCCATGTCTGAAAGTAAGTGTCCCTCCTACTGACAACCCAAAGCCTTCTTGGATATACTCTAGGCTTTACCAGTGAGAAAATCAGATGTCACTCAAAACTAGCAGTGCTTCACCAGAGCCCATGGAATCAGGCAATGTCAGAAAGAGGACAATTCCAGAGTTGCTAGTCCCATCACCTCTGATGACTCAAATGACCAGATAGAATTCACTCTATTCTCTGAGCCTCCCTTTCCTCATCTCTATAACCCTGAGTTTGGAGTTGGCTTCTAGGTTTTCTTGTCAAGAATGTTTCATGGCTTGATATTTCCTGACCCTCAGACAATATTCCATTTTAGATTTTTACTAAGGAAGATCCTTAGAGCCATGAAGTTTATGTCAACTTGATACCAGCTGCTGAGAACTTTAGTCAGTATAGTTTAGAGGGACTTTCAAAAGATGGTTAAGAAACCCATTTGTCAGCCAAATGTAACATCCCAGCCATTTAGAATGCTAAGTTCCAGAGGGACCCCTTTCTCTGATACCGCCGCTGGCACAGAAGAGCTGGAGAGGCACAGTTATAGGATTAGTAAATGTCAGTCCTGCCACAAGGGGAAGGATTTTGAGTATTCAGAGAAATTGGTGGCCAAATGCAAGGAGGTAATCCAAGGGAAATGTCAGGTGTCTGCCGAAGCAAAGGAGGCAAACCCATGTCTGCTATTGGCCAAATGCTTCAGAAGAGGATCTCAGGAAACATTTGGAAATCAGCTGGCTGTTCATGTTGCAAAATATTCTTCTATGTAGTGTAGGGTCATCTCATTCATGTATTGAAAAAGCAGGCTCTGAAATGAGATCAGCTTGGGTTCAAATCCCAAGGCCATCAGTTTCTAACTGTATAAACTTGGACATGTTACTCTAACTACTCTGAACCTCAGTTTTTGCTCAGAAATAATAATTGTACCTATGACATGCTGTAGTGAAGATTAAATGAAACAGAATGTGAGAAGCATTTGACCCACGTATTGCTTAAAAATGGGAGTTGTTACTTTGAGAACTTGAGTGAGACTCCAGAGCAACTCACTGAGGCTTAGGAAACCAAGAGGACTGTGTTAAGAACACCACCTAAGGGGGAGTAACCAGTATTAGGACTCAGCCTCTAGTCACATCATTAACAGAAGGAGCTGTCCACTCCCTGCAGGCTGACCTGACATCGACAGGAAGAATATAATGGTTAATTTTGAAAGATTACACAACTAGGCACATAGGCAACTAAGGTCTTTTATTTCTTAACCAATGAGAGTGGAGGGACAGGGAAAGAATAGGCATTTTTTTTCTCTGTTCATGATTAGAATAGGTAAACAGTAACAAATTAAGCCTGGTTTGTACGATTTTCAAAGCTGGTCAGAAGTAAAACATCACTAGAAAATTTAGACAGGGTATATTCAATTTGCCTACATTCTTTTTTTATAGCATGTTAATCTGCTGTTCTATACATTTTGCTTTCTCTTTTCCTCCATGCTACATAAACATAATTGGGCAAATAATTAGGATGGAAAGGACCTTACCAATATCACCTAGTTTAATGCCTCAACCTCCTTTTTAACACAAGTAAAAATCCTGATGAGTTTTGAAGAATTCTCTTTCTGTCCTGCGTGCTATGCTAGACACCGATTGTGATTACATAGCCAGAAGTTTAGAGGGCAGCCTTCAAACATAATTATACTAAAAGACAACATAAAGGGCATTCACTGTCAAAAGGAAGATGATAGAGTTCCTTCATTTCTGTGCAGACTGCCATGTTTGGAAATCAGAAATACTCAGAAATGAGAAGACAAAACTTTACTTATTTTTTTCCCCAGATAATTATCTTGAATGGATGAAAGTAACAACTGATGAAAAGCCATCTGGGGTAACTTCAACCTGGGCTTTTCATTTACAAATAGGCTTGAGATGCAGACAGTTGGAGTATGATTTTGCTTGTGTATTTCTTGCAGAAAAAAATGAAACATAAGAATTAGAAGAAATTAAAATGACACAAAACACCACAAATTAAAAGGGTGTGGTTTCAAATTCTTTTCTTTTATACAAAGTGGAAAGTAGGCCACAGTGGGTAGGCGCAGCATTCCATTCTTTATTTTGATGTCACGGTCTTTTCTTCCCTTCTCAAACCTAATTGTCAAATTGGCAGTGTTTTTCTAACTCAGTTTTTATAGTGGAGTAAAAACAGCCATGCTGATTCAGACATTGCAAAATAATTGAGACTATTTTGCCTATTTCAGCAAAATGATTTGACGTTTAAAGGTCAGATGGCATAGTGTGATGTATAGTTGCAGTGAATTAACCATATTCCCTTCTTTTCCATTTCTGTATACACAAGTAACAAAATCCCTAGCTGAAAAGGAAAATCGGAATTATTTGTACTTTATTTCCTTTCGTGATTTGAAGTCTTGGGGTTTTTACATCTGTAAAACTCATGTGGCCATTTGTCTGTGGCCGGTCATGTGAGGCATGAACAAGCCTCATGCACCCTCAATATTCTTCAAGCTCCAGGACAGAAGGGTCCCCCCATCTGGAGCTTTCTGAAGGAAAGTGATACATCTGATAGCAGTCTATGCCACCTTTCTTTGAAGAACTCCAAACTGTATATAAACTAAATCTTATATTGAGTACCTCTGAGTTTTATCAATACATGGATAAATTTGGATATAAGAAATTAAGGCTTTGGACTTTTTAAACTTCACGCTAAAACTCTAGGTGTCAATAGCACAGCAAATTGAATTTTTCTGTTCCCATGAAGTTGTTTATCAAATGACAGCAGGAAATCTTAATTGAAAAGGATATATCCTCTTTTATCTTTTAATTATATTTAATATTTCAAGTGTGTTTCACATTCTAATTCAGAATCAGTACTGTAAGGGGCCACACAGTAAAAAAATTTAAGTTTCGTGGGCCACATACTGTCTCTCTTGCATGTTCTTCTTTTTTATTGTTTTACAGCCATTTTTTAAATGTAGAAAGCATTTTATGGCACTCAATCAATACAAAACACGCCATAGATTGTTATATTTGTCCTACTGTCCCTAGTTTTCTGACCCCTGTTCTAAATTAAGAGGGGAATTAAAATCCTTGTATGAATGTTTTTATATTGCCTACCACCATCCCATCTAATACTCACCAGTGCTACAGATGTTCCTATTCATAATTAGTGAGCTAATACTCCAACTAATATTGAACTTGATATAATCTCCTTCTTCCATAACCCTATGAAATTCTGTGTTTCCCCTAAATTTAACGTCCATAATAATTACCTTTACTTGCTTAATGGCTGAATTCACCAATGGTCCGTTAACTCCTTGATGACAGGGAGGGAGTCTGTCTTGTTCCATTCTGTATCCTCAGCACCTAACAAACTACTGTCCCTGAGTAAGTATTCAATCTGTATTCTTTGACTGAATGATTAGTTGGAAACCCAATTCCCTGAATCAGCTGAACTAAAGGAGGAATGACGGAATGCCAGATCAGAATAGCCACTGCCAGGAAGATCACTAAGCAAATATCCAGCTAATGTGTAAGCACATATTCCAAATAATTCAGGCCAACCTTATATATAATAAAACATATTTCTATACTTCGATACATTTCCTGTTCTTAGGGAAAAACCTGATTGGTTACAAGAAAAATAAAAATACCAAATTTTACTTGGTCATGATAAATTAAATTTTAAGCTTGCTCCACTAATTCCAAGTTTATTGTATGGCTATTGAATGACAACTAACCAATGCTATGGTAATAAAAGTTCTAGATTCAGTTTCAAAATCAGGAGAATTTTAGCTGCAATCTTGTATCTTCCAGCCTCATTATGAACATCTTCCTTGGTTTATTAAATTATTTACAGGCTATTGTGTGTCTAAAAAGTTGGGAGATTTTATGGTCTAAACAATATAGATTTCCAATTCTTTTTTATTTTTTTTTATTTTTAGTACCTTATTAGGCATGTGACTCCTGAGGGCTTGCTTTATATTCCAAATATAATAATATATAATAAACATACTAGCTGGGTTCTTTGAGAACTGAAACTTACATTTGGAATGACTGAATGGCCTATTTTGAATAAATTTTCATTTGAAGCAGCCTTTCCAACATAAAATATTTAGAAAGAATTAAGATGGTATAATTTTACAGTGATCAGTTAACAATATTTAAAGTCCTTGGTTTAAATCTCCTCTTTAATATTCATTTTCTTCTTTTTAAATAAAATTTAGGAATTAAAGCTTTAGTTAAGACAAATTTACTAGTTTTCTTATTGGAAACATGCAGCTATTTTGAATAGTTGCATAATCTGTGCAATATTGGAAGATGGCTTCTTTGCAATATTTGCTGTGTGGTTTTCTTTGATTATAACTGAGATGATATGCACTAAAAACGTCAGTGATTTTCCTTCTTTTAAACAGGATTTCATTTCAGGTGGATCAAGGAATGAACGTTGTGATATTATTTCCAATTTAATAAGCAAAGGCTGTTCGACTGATTCAATAGAATACCCATCTGTGCATGTAATACCAAGGGAAAATGAAATTAATACCCAGGTGACGCCAGGAGAAGTGTTGATCCAGCTGCGTCCAGGTTTGGTGATTTTCAAATAAATCTATGATGATTCTCACTTGAAATTACATTTAGCTTTATTTGCTCATATTTAATATTTTGTGGAAGGCACTATTATTGTAGTAGAAATAACAGTGGGCTCAGAATCAAGAAGTCAGAATTTTGCTCTTTTTTGTGCCTATAGCTAGCTAGCTGTGTGGCCTCAGACACTCTCTGCAAACCTAACCACACTATATCATAATTACGTGTTTCCAGACTTGATCACATTGTAGTGTAATTGTGTTCCTATTCCATTGCCAGCTCTGGAAGAAAGAGAACTTGTTTTATTCCACTGCTTCTCCAAAGCCTCACAGAGTGCTGGCTTATAGTAAGCACTCCATAAGTATTTGTTGACTTGATTAGTTGATTAAGTAGTAAGAGCTGTAAATTAAGCTAAGCCGTTAGAGCCTGTGTGATAAACTTTGAAACACAAAACTACAATTCATAATTATCATAATTAACTTGACCTACTTTGTGGTGGCCCCTGAGATTAACACATATTTCTCCTCCTATACTTCTCTTGTACTTGCCATTTTATCACATTGTATTCCAGTTTGGCACATGTAGTAGGCCACTGGAAATTATTCAGTTTCCTCTGGTGCTAGAGAATCCCAGGGTACAAACTACACATGGCAAGATAAGTTCAGGTACACAGGTATGCATCAGTCAATTAGATGCATTTAGTTTTCAGCAGTATGCAATTTCTTTCAAGTCTCCCATTATTTCATTCTGGGTGGTCTTGTCCTGTCATTAAATTTTTTAATAACCATTATTGACACATGACCTCCCTATTCCAAAGCTGAGCTATTTCTTCCAGATTCTTAGATTGCCAGAAAAACAAAGTCTATTTCTTTCTTGGCTTTAGACATATTCCCAGCTTCCAATTAAAACTATGCTCTTCACCATATAACACAGCCCAGTGTGGACATATATAAGCAACATTTGGAAAGGGATACACAAAAATGAAAGAAATTAGATTGGTAAGATTATGCCATTCACTATCCTCTATTGCTACCATAACAAAATACTGTACAATAGGTGGCTTAAACAACAGAAATTTATTTTCTCACAGTCCTGGAAGCTAGAAAGTTTAAGATCAAGGTACTGGCTGATTTGGTACCTGGAGAGGGAGAGAGAGACACACCCAGAGAGAGGGGGACAGAAAAAGAGCTCTGTGGTATCCCTTCTCATAAGGGCACTAATCTCATCATGAGGGCCCCACCCTCCTGAACTCATCTAAACCTAATTATCCCCCAAAGGCCACATCTTCAAACACCATCACATTATGGGTTAGGGCTTCAACACAAATTTGGAGGGAAAACAATTGAGTCCATAGCACTTGATATATAAAATAATATTTTCAAAGGCCATGGAATATTTTTAGATATTAATCATATCTTAAACAAGAAAACTTAATTCCAAAAAGTGAAACTTTTTATAGGTCAATATCACTGTACACTATGCAATAACTTTTGAAATCAATATAAGAGGATAAACAAATATTAAATAACAAACTAAGAAAAGCTTTTCCTAAATAAAGTCTGTCTCCAAGAATAAATCAAAACTCTAGTCATAGACTATTTAATAATTACAATAACAACACACATCAAAATATATGGGATGTGATTAAAGTTGCTCCCAGGAAAATTAAAAGCTTTAAGTGCTTTTATTATTAAAGAATGAGCAAAAATTAACTAAGCATCCAAATTAAGATATAGGAGCAACAAAAAGAAAATAGCCATAAGGAAAACAAGAGAAAGGAATTCATAAGTTAAGAAAAGAATTATAAAATGCAAACTAGAAATAAAAGGGTAAAATTAATGTATAATTCCAAGAGTTGGTTCTTTGCAAACTCCAATAAAAATAGATAAATTGTTGTCAAAGCTGATTAAGAAAAGAAGAAAAAAGTAACCCAGCTATAACCAAAGAAACAAATATTAAAGAAAAAAAGACTATGAAAATATTAAGCATAAAAATCTATGGTAAAATGCATAAATATTGATAATATACATAATTTTAAGGAAAATACATATGACTAATATTGCTCAAGAAGAGGGAGATCCCTAAGAAACTTAATAAAAATAAAAGAAATTAAGAGCATTGTAAAAGAAAAACCCACATTGTGTACTTAATGTTTTCTTGGGAAGAAATGATTTCATGTTCACCCAAACATTAAGAAATGCACTATCCCTATGCTACATAAACTCTTCCATTAGTTTTTAGAGAAGGCCTAGAAGCTACCCAATCGGTACAAGGTTAGCATAACCCTAGTATCAAATCCTTAACATTTTGGGCGCCTGGGTGGCTCAGTCGTTAAGCATCTGCCTTCGGCTCAGGTCATGATCCCAGGGTCCTGGGATCGAGTCCCACATCGGGCTCCCTGCTCAGCGGGAAGCCTGCTTCTCCCTCTCCCACTCCCCCTGCTTGTGTTCCTGTTCTCGCTGTCTCTCTCTGTCATATAAATAAATAAAATCTTAAAAAAAAAAAAATCCTTAACATTTTAGGAAATCACATTAAATCATATGTGATAAGAAAAATAATGCCAAAAGGAAAAAATATATATTGTTATCTCAACAGATGCTGAAAAATCATACAGTAAAATTTAGTGTCCATTCTGCCAAAACCAAAACTGAAGAATAGTTCTTTAATATGTATTAAAATCCTTCTGGAAGTTTTATATAAAAGCAGTTAGACTAAAAAGCTAAATACAAGTTACAAACATTTTGAAAAGATAAAGCAAAATTATCATTATATGTCTCTGGTAAATCCAAGCAAATCAACTAAAATTAACTTTTAAAATTAAAAATAAAAAACAGGGGCACCTGGCTGGCTCAGTCCATAAAGCATGAGACTCTTGATCTCAGGGTCATGAATTTGAGCCCCACATCGGGCCTAGAGCTTACTTTAAAAAAAATAAATAAATAAAAAATAAATTCCTCAGCCATCGTTATATAAACAAGGTATACATATTTTTAAAACTAAATAAATAGAGGTGCGCCTGGGTGGCTCAGTTGGTTGAGCAACTGCCTTCTGCTCGGGTCATGATCTCAGAGTCCTGGGATCGAGCCCCGCTTTGGGCTCCCTGATCCACGGGAAGCCTGCTTCTCCCTCTCTCATTCCCCCTGCTTGTGTTCCCTCTCTTGCTGTCTCTCTGTCAAATAAATAAAATCTTAAAAAAAAAAAAAAAAGATAGATAAATAAGGCGGGTTGTTTTTTAAAATATTCAAATCAATGAATTTCCTATGTAATATTAAATATAATGAAAAAAAGGATCAATTCATAGCAGCAACCTAAAATGTAAACTGTCTAGGGATAAAGTGTTTTAAAAAATGTATAAGATCCACTGTGCAACCTTGAAGATATGAAAAAGTGCAGAAGAATTTTATGTTCCTGATTAGGAAGACAATACTTATAACAGTGACAGTTTTCTATAAACATACTCTATAAATGTAACAAAATCCAAGTGAACAAATAAATGTAAGTCAATCCCAATCCAACCTGAATGAAGTTTTTTAAAACCTTCAGTGATACTTGTATGCATGTATCTTTATATACAATAGCATATTCATTTAGGATACATTCTTATAAATAGATTTACTAGGTCAAATATATACAAATTTACTTAGGTTTTTAATGTATATTATCAGGTTATTAGCAAGAAAAATGGATGTCCGATTAAGGCTTTCATGAGTCAACCTTGCCTTCTCATTCTTTTCAATCTCTTCAGTTTTTTAAGTGTAACTACTGTTACCTGTTTCTTTTGCCTTTTTTCCTAGTACTAGGAAGCTTCCTAAGCTTATTAACCATCTTAGTTCTCTTTTTTGTGTGTGATATGCCTCTCCATACAAACTTTCCTATTTTTCTAACTAAACATTACCTTTTATTTTAAAGATTTTATTTATTTATTTGACAGAGAGAGAGAGCACAAGCAGCGGGAGCGGCAGGTAGAGGGAGAGGGAGAAAAACAGGCTTTCTGCCCCCTGAGTGGAGCGGAGAGTCCCGCAGGGCTCAATCTCAGGACCCTGGGATCCTGACCTGAGCTGAAAGCAGATGCTAACTGAATGAGCCACCCAGGCGCCCCTAAACATTACTTTTCAGTAGCTTATACATGAAGCTTATCATATATTATTTGCCTCTAATAAATGTAACTATATCCTTTCAAAATGTCTTGCTGTTTTTTAAACACTTGGGATTTGAAACTTACAAGGGTGCATTTCTTTTTTATTGGTGTGTTACCTTTAAATTTATGTACTTAAATGAATTTAGTTTGTTCCTTTTTGTAGATATAATGGTGGTTGAATCCTCCTGAGACTAAAAATTAACAGTTCAGAAGTTGGCTGTTTCAGTGCTATAGATAAGCACTGACAGAATGGTAATGAGGCAGGAGAGAAGTGGAAAGACACGAGGGGTAATGGGAGGTAGCATCCCCGGGGGTTGTTGTCAATGAGCACAGGGACACTTGGGTTGCGGCTCAAGCAACAAGGTAAGAGAGGTGGCTGCCCTCTGTAGAAGGTGTGGTACTGAGTTCAAACTGAGACATTTTAAATTGGGGTGGTGACTTATTTATTATATATGAGGCTGCAGTTCAGCAGGAGATACAGGTTGGATAAAGATGTGGGAGACTTCAACATAAGGTGGTAAATGATGGTAAGTGAAGGCAGTATGGGGAGTGGGAGAGTGAAAAGAGAAATGCTTAAGATCTATGTCAGTCCCTATGGGGTTTGATTTTATTCATTTTCCCACTACTATTTGAATTTCTGTATGCAAATTAGTGTAATTATCTAATGTGTTTAAGTCATCTTTCCAATGTAGCCATGACAGAACTATATTTTATAATATGCATATATAACAAATGCTTATTAAGTTATATTTAATAAGTTCATCTAAAAACTACACATGGCATCAAAGATGTGCCAGCTTTGAGGCATAATATATAAAGTTACATTTTACCAACTCCAGATATATAGAACCATCACTCCTCATAATATAAAAGTCCTTTCTACTAGGACACATACCATGCATACCTAAGTATAAAATGCATTTATTCTCTAATATTGATTTCGATGTGATTTATTTATAATCACTTCTTATAAAAATTCATTACCTTCAATGTAGCATCTCTTAAGAATTTAACATTATTTTCAGGGATACTGATTAAACTTTTTAAAGAATGTTAGTAGAACTCTATTATATATTTATTTTTTTTAAGATTTTTTTTTTATTTATTTGACAGAGAGAGACACAGCGAGAGAGGGAACACAAGCAGGGGGAGTGCGAGAGGGAGAAGCAGGCTTCCTGCGGAGCAGGGAGCCTGATGCGGGGCTCGATCCCAGGACCCTGGGATCATGACCTGAGCCGAAGGTGGACGCCTAACGACTGAGACACCTAGGCGCCCCTATTTTATATATTTAAAATGAGATTTAAAAGTGATATTTTCTTTCACTTTTTACTTCTTAAAATATACATTTTTTCTTATTTTTACCTATCAATCTTATGGAAAAATAACAGAAAGAAGCTACTGATCCTACTTGATATTCCCTGAGAACACTGAAATGAAATCTTTAGGAAGATAGAAGAAAGAAATTCTCCAATTCTGCTTCAGAAGTAATACAATAAGGATTAGTGTAATCTATAGCTCACTAATTTAAGAAAATCTTCCAAACTCAATTCATTTTAATATCGTAACAAAAGAATTCCCTTTAATTTAGTGTAGCTTAACTTAAAACGTAAGATTTTTCAGGTATTCTTCCTAAATTCAAAATTTTTTTAAAAACCAGAAAAATACAGATATCACGCATCCTTTCCCCTCCACCCCTGGCACATACTCATTTTATCCCCCACAGAAATTCAGAAATGTGCTGGAGTCTGTGCCTTATTGTTTCAAACCCATCTCATTTTTGGGCCTTCTCCTTCCCCGACCCAAGTACAATAAACAGAATTTGGCTGTTCTTTCTTCCTACCAGTTTTCCACACTTTCTTACGGTTTTTCAATTTCATCTTATGCAGAACATTTTTAGTTATCTTTTCTTAATGTCCAGTCATGGTTGTAGCCAAGTCTTCAGAGATGTTCACACCATTATTTCAGTGATTTTAAACTCATTCTAACTACTTTCAATTCTTTGGGCTATTCAAACCAATACTGGCGAAAGTTCTAAGTAGGTCTCATCTTTACTCCAAGTCCTCTTTCTTATTCTGTCACAGACCCACTCCCCTTTGAAGTTGATTGATGGAAAAAAGGATCTGAGCCTTTAGAATCTCAAAAGGTATAAGAATGAAGCTTTCTTGGAGATAATATAAATCGTGGCATAAACATTTTGGGGCCAGGTGACACTCTTTCCTCTCAAACAGAGAAACTAAGTTTTTCCTACTCTGTAGGAAGTAATTCATAGATAATGAGCTTCTCACTAAGTTTAAAATATGGGGAGCTTTTGAAATGATGTATCAAAATGCGCTTCAAATGTAGTTTAGTTAAACACATTTATGAGTGGCTATGGCCTGTACCAAACCCAGAAGCTTCAGAGATAAATGAATAGTTTTTATGCTAATGATGTTTAGTAATACTAATGGTATTACTAAGCGATAATTACTAACACATATATATTTACTGTGTACCAAATACTGGAGTAAATATTTTAAATAGACACTAAAGGAATCTGCTCTCAGAGTAGTATTTATGACACTGCTGCCTACATTGATAACCTCACAGATATTAAGTCTTATTTTTACATGTGTTTCTTTCTTATCCAATATATTCAAAATCACATTAATGTCATCTGCCTTTTGAGCCCTGCGTTGTTGGCACCCCAGTATGAACTGAATGGAGATTTTATCTGGGGACACAAATGCTGTTCCCTACATTGCCCAGGTCCCCAGTGTGGCAGTGCGGGAATTTGCTTGCAAGGCTACCCATAAAAAGGTATTTCTACTGCCTCTGAGAAGGTTTCTTCTTCATATATAATGAAACCATCAAGAGCCAGCTTGAAAGCATATGTGGACTATCTCAAGCTCATGAGCAAAACACCGCAATCCAAGCTTGGCTTCCTCCCTAACAAGCAAAGTGGGGTTTGAGATCAGCCTATCTAGGGCTGCCTACGTTGAGCTGATGACTTAAAGTTAGAACTTTATGGGAACTTTAAATGCCTTGCAGTTTATTATTTTTTAAAAGACTTATCATTTATTTTAGAGGGGGGAGGGGCCATGGGAGAAGGGAGAGAGAATCTCGAGCAGACTCCCTCTGAGCATGGAGCCAGACTCAGGGCTCCATCTCACCACCCTGAGGTCACTACCTGAGCTGAAATCAAGAGTTGGATGCTCAACCAACTTCGCCACCGAGGCACGTCAAATGCTTTGCAGTTTAGAAGTGGTAATTATCATTTTCTCCAGCAATGACTAAAAGGCCTGTGTATGGAAGGAATCCCTTTTCCCCTTTATTAAAATTTTGTCTTACTGAGGCGTCAGCCCATGCTGAGGTCTTCCAATGACCTAGGTACATATCTGAGACCAGCATCTATATAATTCAAAATCAAGCTACCACAGCCTAAACCCTCCAACCCTGATCGTTTGGCAGGCTTCCTTACAGCCATCTTCTTTGCTGAGGCCAGTGAGACGGGGATTTGCTTGCAAGGCTAAGAGCAGCTAGTGTGTGCTGAGGGCCCTTGTAGGGCTAACATTTGGTTGGACCTCTCTGAATATCTTAGTCCTCTAAGGACTGTGCCTTTGCAGTTTCTGTTGGCGAAGATAACCACCAACTTTATAACAACCTGGACAATATACTATCTAGTGTATTTTTCAATAACTCCATGAAAACACACAGCAATTCATCCTTAGGCAGAGCCACCATAAACTGTAATGATCACCAAGATGAAAACACCATGTGGCCGGTGCCTTAGGTCTTCAGCCTTATACCCAAGTCAACATTTAAAAAACAACTACACAATTTGTAAAGAAGAAGAAGAAGAAGAAGAAGAAGCTGATCCACACATTAAAACACATGAACCACACTCCCCAATTATGCTCCATTTCTATTTCTTATCAATCTGGCTCTGTCTAGATTCTGACATTCTCCTGAATTGAACTTCTCCACCCAAAGTACAAGACACTTCCACAGGGACAGGCCTTTTTACCAGACACTGGAAAAGCAGAGCCGAATATATGCTCTTTGGAGGCAGCCCAGCTCGTAAAGGAAAGGAGTGAGAGAGTGGGCTGGGTGGCTTTCACATCTTCCAATTTCTCCTCCCAAACTCTTGGGCCAAAAAACTAAGAGTGTTACAATAAAGAGGTTTCCAGCATATACAGGCAAATTAGGAAGGAGTAATTTCTTCCATAATTATTATTACATACCAGATAAACCTTATTTTGAATACATTCTGTAACTGGTTTAAAAACATTTGATTTGTAAAATAATTTAAAAGAAAATATTGCTATTCTTGAGCATATTAAGACTTAAAATATGACTTGATAAATTAGAGGATTCTTCTGATGAGTAGATCAGGCTATCAATTGTACATACAAATTGGTGTTCATTAAAAAAAAATTGTTCTACTCAAATTACTCTCCGCTGACAAATAATGACTTAGAAAGCATTTACTTTATTGTTTAAAAAAGTAAAATTCACAAATTGCCCATATTTAAAGAGATGACTGCTTACCATATACTTACTGGTTTCCAATTATGGAAGGAATAAGTCATGGGAATAAAAGGCACAGCATAAGGGATTCAGTCAGTGATACTGTAATAGCTATCAAATGATAATGGACAGAGAACTAAATAAAATGGTATTGTACACAGTTGTTGGGAAGCTCCCACATTTCTCCTCATGGTGACCCTCTCTTCTCGTCTAGTTCCTTTGCTTCCATGATCCCTCTTCAACATACGTCTATCAAGTACCCACTATGTGTTAGACAAATGCTGTTCCCTACATTGCCCAGGTCCCCAGTGTGGCAGTGCTGGGTACAGTTCTTTAGACCGCTGTCTCATTCCTTCTCAGGACTAACTGTTGGGAAGGATCTCATCATCTAATTCATTATGAAGTACTACATATCCTGGATAGGTTAACCTACTACTCAGTACCAGAGTTTTCACTTCACATATGTAAATATGCCTTAACCCAAAAGGATGAATTCGTACCTTCATCCAACAAGAGGTAACTTTTCTTAAGATGCCTTTCTACTTTTCTTCAAACCAAAAACCTCTTTCAAACCACGACAGTCACCTACTCTTGAGATAGAACGCTGCTTGCAATATTTAGTGCTGTCTTTTCCTAGATACTAAGGGAAGTACGGGTTCATATGGTGATAATATATTCTCTATTACACTTATATTGAGCTGGTCCATTTGTTACTATCACTGTCTGCACCACAGAATTGTGAGAAATGCATTGTAGAAGTTGGAAACTAATAAACTGACATGGTTTTCAAATTGCCTTAAAATTATTCCAGGATATTCCTAACTTCATTCATTATGCACAAATTTGTGCTAGTTGTTCTGTATATAAAATGTGACTGATTTATTGAGAGCTTATCCTGAGATGTTTAAAATGAATACTACATAATGTCTGTCTTTCTTTGAACCAGAAGCTGAAGCTAATTTTATGCTGAAAATTCATCCTCTGAAGAAATACCCTGTGGATCTTTATTATCTGGTTGATGTCTCGGCATCAATGCACAATAATATTGAAAAATTAAATTCCGTTGGAAATGATTTATCTAGAAAAATGGCATATTTTTCCCGTGATTTCCGCCTTGGATTTGGCTCCTATGTTGATAAAACAGTTTCACCATACATTAGCATCCACCCAGAAAGGATTCATAATCAATGCAGGTATCTAGGTGTTGATGTGGACTTCATAATACCAAATTAAATTTTTTCTTATAAAATCTCTCTTTGTTTTTATATAAAGGACTCACTAAATTTTATATTTTTGTTTTATTAAGTGAGAAATGAAAATATTTGGAGAGGAGGTATGTTCCTATCCGAAAACTTACGAGATTATGTGTAGCTTGGATTTTTTATTTTGTTTTTTTTTTTTCAAATATCACTCAGTTTCATCACCAAAAACCCACAAGTAATATTAGTAATTTTGGATAAACCCCCAATATTCAGGCCACCATGCATATAAATACCTGTTTGAGAATTCTGTATGTGTCCTTTGTGATGGCTCCAAATTTGTTAAATTAAGGTTTGTCAAATTTAAAATACTTAACATTGCCAGTACTGCAACTATCTTTACATTACTCTGTAGTGATTATGTTTATAATTATGTTGCCTAAGATGTGACTTCAAAGAAAGTTCAGCTAGGACATGAAGGGTAGTTGGAAAGAGGAGAATTTGTCTGTTTTCTGGAAAGAGCCCCTTTTCTTATCATTTTGAAAGTCTGATTCTAAAGAGCATATGCTGCACTAAGAAACAAGAACTGACCTTAAAAATACAAGTTTCTCAGACAGTATCTTAATTAACCTGTTGAGTTCTCCGAGAGAAATGTGTTCAGTTCTTCCTTAATATAACATTTCATTTTAACATCATCTTCTTTCTTACTTCCATGAGTTGCCCAGATCACTTTACAGTATACACATCTACCAAAACAGCTCTGCTAACTGTTGGAATGAATACATCTCCTCATGGAGCTTCATGTTCCTTCTCCCTAAGCATGCATGTGCCTGAAGAATGATTCTCACTTCTTGGGACATCATGGCAGTCTCAAAACAACTTTAATAAACTCTGATTGTTCATCAATAATTTCACACCAAGCAACGCTTTAAAAAGTTAGCACAATATTTTTAAATATCCAGCAATAGTATAATATTTTCACTAAATTCCTAAAAACAGTTCCCCAAAAGTGTTTTTCAGCTGTCCCATGGTCAAATACGATAGGAAATCACTGCAAATTCTTACCTCCTCTTAAAAATTAACCATGTATATTAGCATAATAAAAGCTCTTTAGGTGTCCTATATTAAACATGCTTAATCTTCTTTAGTTTTTGGACACCAAACCATTATATTCCTATTTCCTACTTGCAAAGAAATATCCACCAATATTGAACTTTTCTCTGATTTTATAAAGTACAGGTTTTCTCTAATAAAATTACCTTGGCAAAAAAATATATATTTATGTTTATATAAACATAAATATTTATTTTTTTGCCAAG